ATTTAAAAAATTCAGAAAGGCTTGTGGAAGCAAAATACTTTTCTAATTTTTCTCTTAAATATTTAGGTGAATGCTTACGATCCCCATGAGATTTTCAATAAATACTTTAAAACACAAAGTTCAACTGCAAAAAAGGTCAGTACCTGGTCCTGGGTTTATTCTAAGAATCAAGGATGATGAACAGATGAGTTAAGGTCTTTTCACTGCTTATATAATTTCTTAAACTGGAGTTCAGGAATGCAATGGATAGATAGCTACTACAGTAGCTCCCCCTGCTGAAAAAAACGTAACATTTCTCTTGTGTATTTCCTGTTTTGTACGTTAGCAAGTAAAATCATCTGCAGTCAGAAAACAGTTTAAAAACTTACTTTTTACCAATTACTTGAATGAGAAGACCAGTATGAGACCAGATTATATACATCTGGCATCCTAGCTGACTTGAGGTAAAATGAGACATCCTTAGACCCGTTTTTGAGGGTGGAAGGAGGGAATTAGGCAGGCAAATTCTTTTCACCACTAGGCTAGTCTCCCAAGGTAGCCTGCCCTTAGCGACCATTATATTTTTCTTAATCAATGATATAAAAATACATTAAACATTAAGCCCAACCAAATACTTATTCCTGTTATGAAAGCAAGATTTGTAATCTTTATTGTTTCACTGACATGTAATAAATATGATACAGAACAAAAACCATCACATCACGCCCATTGATTGAATTACACAAGCTGTTCATCAGAATACATTACTTTTTTTTTTTCCCCCCCATTAGCCCTTTTATAGGGTTTTGGTATTGGATATTAAGAGAATTTAAATCTATCAACACAAGAACAATCTTCATACTTTCATCTTTATACATGTTTCAAATAATCACACACATACTGATTTTGTTAAAAATATATAAGCAATGTTTGATATCTGCAATATATGCCTCTATTTTCTATTCTTTAGACCTCTATTCATAGTGTCAATTTCAAAATAATTGATAGCTTAAATCTGATTTTAATTAAAAATACTTATTCTATACTTTTCATTTAACTGAAACCCCTCAGAAAATGAAGTGACAGGACAAAAACTCCATGCAAAAAAAGAAGGTTTACTATTAAAAACAAAGCATAGAAGCTCTGGTCTTCACTTCACCAGTATAAATCTGGAATAACAGAGACGCCAATTTAGTATGAAGAAAGGAAGGAATCAGAAGCCACAGTTTCTGAATAGACACACACCTTCATTTCAGAGTTACTACTGCCATCCTGCTGTTTTCTTGGTTTAAATCATTGCGTCAAGCCATGATTAAATGTTTTTCTCTCCCTGAATATATTTATCATTAAATGGAAATCAGATAAAAATGCTTCTTTTTTAATCAGTAATAGATCAAGATTCAAAACACTCTGAAATGAGGAATTTAAGTGCAAATGCAATACGCATCAGTAATTCAGGTTCTGGTCTCACTAAGGAAAATGGTTAAAAGATTATGCATAAACATGTCATAGGGGATGTATACCTGGAACGTGCTGTGCTGTGCTCTTAAAATAGCTGAATTATCAGGAAACCCTAAGCACTTCATGCACACAAAGATTTTCTTCAGTTTTCTCTTAATTATTAAAATACAATCTCAAGAGTAGCTTCTGCTTTACAGATGTTATTCACAATTCATTTCAAATTGCAGAGCTGTAAGTTTAGTAGAAAACGTTAATACCACAAAGACCGTTACAACAGTTAACTTGTTTTGGGGCATCTTCTAGTGCACAAAAAGATTTAAAAGTTGAACAAAACAATCAGTATAAACATCTAAATAAAGATGTTTCAGGAACAGTTTTGCTTTACTAATATCCATCCCAAAGAGAACGTGAGAAACAAATTTTAAAATCATTACAATATAGATTCACTTAGCTGTACAATGCTAATGTCCATATCACATACTCCATACACTTTTCTAATTCTACCCAGATAACGTCAATCTGAGTAAGTGGCTAAACTTTCAATATAGCTTTGTGTAAATGGACTCATGATATTCAATTAATAGGAAGACCATTTATTTGCAACTGGATTGTATGGATTTTAAGACTTCACAAAAAAGTCAAAAATTTAAACAAAAAACTACTTAGCGTGTACACTATTTCTCCAAACACAATTTTTCCCTTAATTTTTACCCATCACAGAGCTTGATTCAGCTTCAATATGAAATGACATTTAAAATATCTACATTCTGTATTAAATCAAGATCAGCTACAGAGATCAATCCAATATACAATTATTGCCAAGTTAAAAGCAAGCATTTCCTATATGTAATTGTGCTATAAGAATTACCCTTATGATTTTTCAGCTGATCCTACAATGCTATCCAGTAAGACTCTTCATTTCCAATTAAGAATTTTTTGGGTAACCCCCCCCCCCCCCCTCCCACCTTGTCCCATAGGAAAAGGATACTGCCTGTCCGGATAGCCCCTGCTGCTCTCATAACTAAAGGAAAAAGGAGGAGGTTCTAAAAATATTTTATTAATTTCTCATTGCAGTGGAGGATGTAGTTTAACTGACATGCAAAGGGTCAGATTTGGATAGAGAGAGGCAGCACCTATAATAGCAGGGCCAAGGAAGAAGAGACTTGTAGGCAGGCAACATCAGTAAAACATTGAAGGGTATCTCTACCGGCAACACAGTAATTTGCATATTATAAAGTTAGATCTATACTAAATGGCTACTGCCCCTCAGCTTGATAAAAAGTGCTTTTAAAAACTGTGGAACACCTTTAGGAATATATCTCAAGAACCATAACAAAAAAAAAAAATCCCTGCACTATGATACAGGCCATCCAATATCTAGTTGTATTTCTTCTGTGGAACGTATACAAGATATGTGCACGTTCCCAGACAAAACACTCTGAAGTTCATTAAAAAAGGAGAAGAGAATTGTATTCAACTTCAGAAGTTAAGTTGCAATAACAATTAAAGAACGTAGCACTTGCAGAAGGAAACAGCTGCTTTCTACAGATTTTTTTTTTTTGTAAGAGAAAAGTTTAAGAATTTAATCTAGTGCTTTCAAGAAGTAGGAAATGAAAACTAGATTAAATTCTGGATATGGCTGGCCACATCATGGCAGGCGTTCCAGAAGGAGTCTGGTCACCTACTAACACTAAATGTAATGGTGCAATACCTTAACTGAGGGTAGTATGAGAACACCTAACTGGACAGGTCTAAACATGGCAACGTGGAACATCACGCCTGTAATTTTTAACAGACAGTACGGCCACAGACTTTTTTTTAAGCCAGATTTATAACAACAACTCAGAGAATCAGAGCAGTCAAAATACAATCACAGTAGCTTTAGCTAGAGAGGACATGCCCTGCTGCATTCTTGGCTAAATGAAAGTAAATGGAAATGTCAAATAAGAAATTGTGAAGAGGAAGTTGATCCTCAAGGCTACAATCGCATGCATCAATGTCACTACTGATAAATAAATTCCCCTAGAAGTATTACAACTAAGTGAAGTCATTAACATTCCTCATACTGCTGATTCTGAAGGAATTATGCAGCAAGACAAATTTGCCATCTAAATAACTAAGCTGCATGTTGGCTATAGGGAAATACCTTTTGTGACCAGTTACAGCTTAACTTGTTTTACAGCACTAAATCCCCAAATTTGTATTACTGAAAGTCTTAACAAAGCAAACATATACTGCAGATGGAAACACTGTCAAGGCATAGAGATCAAACTGACTGCAGATCTTCATTTCAATAATTTTACTTTATTAATGCTGTTTATGACTCTGGTGGGCTTTCAATCAAATCCTCGTCTAGCCAATAAAGTAACTTCACTGGAAAAACAAACTAAAACCCCCTAAGTTAACAGGCTTCATAAAAATTTAATGATATAAATGAATATATTTATGTTGGCAGGTTTATATCGGCACTCTACCCCAGAATCAGATTATCTTTTACTACAGCATTGTCTAACCATGAAAGTTAATGTCATGACATATGAGTGCAGCTTTGAAATCTGCAGGGCAACTATGAATTTATATGGTGCATGGTACAATAAAGCAGGAAGAAAAAAAAAATGCACAAATTGCAACGTTGTAAATGGAGGTTTGTCTGAAAAGTAATGAAGTATTGGGCAATGTGTATTTTATTGCCACCTTTAAATGCTCCAGCACCCTCGTCATGATTCACTGAATAAATCAGAGGAAATTCAACGTGTAAGTCATGTGGCGCAAAAATGTTTGAGTGAAACTTGAAGATTGTTTTAACTTGATTTTAAAGTCACAAATTAGTTATCAACTCATACATCACATAGTATCATCCATATTCCCTGAGAAATCATGCCATGAGATAACTATAAAACAGAAAAAAAGCATTAATGCAATCCTGGATTAAAATAAGAAAAAAAAATCATGCACAAACTGTTTAAGAACCATCAACATTTAAATGCAGTTCTAGCTATTAAATTGCAGACACTAAGTATGTTATGACATACAGCTGTAACAGAAATGGTAACTAATTAGAAATTTCTAACGAATAAAGAAAATGGATTAGAAGTACCATCCTGTAGTTAACCTTATCACTCCACACCACGATATTAGTATTAGTTCATGTTTCTTAATTTTTGATTATGCTATTTCTTACCACTTTATTAACACACACGCACACACACAAATACTCTGCCTTACTGCGGCACATTTCCATGTGAAATTGGAAAGCGTGTCCATGAACTCACTGTACATCTGAGCTTTAACTCGTTTTTCCTCTCCTCATAGCCTTAAATTAAGTTCAATAACTTAATTTTCCCAAGATAATAGGATCTTTTTAGTAGGGAGTAGGAATGATAGTGTTCAGGATGAAGACAGATAGAACCAAGAATTAAAGAAATCACTTTACCACCTTATTTAAAAGCAATCAGAACACTAAATAGCAGTACCTAGGCACAATGGGCATAACAAAGGTGAGAGTGGCAATTACAATAGCACACACCAGGAAAAGTAATTCACAGGCTCTTCTGTTGTTGCCAGTATGTTACACGGAGGTATGCAACGCATGTAGCAGCGTACAGTGTCAAGTATCACATGCAGCACCACAATTTGTCATTTGAAGATCGCCACTGCTGAACACCCTACTTCAGCAAAGTACTTCAGCGTGGGCAACGCAGCGAGATCAGCCTCCCAGGTTCTGAATTTAAGCATGCAGTCCACTATATCCCACACGACACCAGGTCTGATAGGTACAACACCCTCTGCTCTCCACGCCGATTCTCAAGGGCGGAACGCGAGCATGCAAGAGCCATGCAGTGCACCCTGGGCAACACCAGACCGGGCCCTCAGGGTCTGCAGTGGCATGCAGGGGCCCCATATTTTACAGGTAGTTCTTGAGTACTGAATATCACATGTACTTAACCCCTTTGCTCACTCAGTATTAAGTCTACAGCAGCCCCTAGTAGTGAACACATTTTTGCTATGACTAAAACCTAGTACAAGGTAGCTAGAAAAACTGAAGTCCTTGTTTTCCTTTTTTCTGGACTGCAGAATACAGTACATTGAACTATGTGAGATGCATCAGTACCCTGAAAGCTAAGGCTTGCTACATGGCATTCAGCAAGTTACTATCATTTCCTCCATATATAAAAACCAAACAACTCCAAAACTTGAAAAAAATCCATACTGCCCAAACACAGGAAAAAAAAAAAATCTTGGTTGTCTCATAGGATTGCAGGAATTAGTTAAACTGTTGGACAGAACACCACATGTAGCATTGATTCTCTTATTTTGTAGGCATGGGAAATCACTGCTCTTTAAGCGTCTAATAACATTCAAAGAAATGCCTGTTTTGTTTTGTAGATGTATGCACTTTTGACAAGAAATAAGTCAGAATCAAGACATTCCCAAAGTGAAATAAAAGCAATGACATTTTATGCTAGCACACAGGGGTAATGAAAGTTTTCACAAGAGAGAGCTCCTTCACATTCCAGTTGTGTCTTGGGGTGGGGGTGTAGGGGCAAGGGGAAGGGGTTCACCACTACATCACCAGTACCTGAGAATCAAAGCTAAATCTCTTGTGCATTTATCAAGCACCCATTAGAGAGCTACACAAATTACATTTCCAATAAGACAATATATTTATAAAATATTATTGTACTAAAAAAATCACAAGATTTAATAGAAAAATCTCATCACATTCTATTAAATGCAGGAACAATGTTACATGTCATAACTTCAGTAATTAAAACTGTCACACATTTCTTGTAACCACAGGGGCACCACTGTTCAAAAATCCATGGCCTCTCAGGAAGGACAATTTGATTTGGTTTTTATTCTTTAAAACACTGTAGTTTAATGCAAACAGACTGGCAAAATCACTTAGTGCCATTAAATTTCTTAAAGACTTCAACATGTTTTATCAAAAAAAAACAAAAACAAAAACAAAAACTTAAAATACAGTGGGCAAGCCCTAACTTTTTGAGTTAAACTGAACACTGAGAGGATTCAACATTCCTGGAGTCTGAGATAGGAGAATATTTTCTAATGTTTCACTTCTAAAACTCTACCTAATGCAATAATGCCACTAAACAAGAATTATATAGAGAGAATACTACGACAATCTTTAACTTTGTAACATGGACATAAGGACAAATATGGATAGCAACTGCCCTTATATATTACAGCTCCAATTCTATTGATCAGTATGACTGATTTCAAAAAACTGTATGGTGACATTCCCCTAAAAATACTGTGATTGCCTGTCTGAAAGCAAACCGAAAGCTTTGACAGCCTTAGCTTGCAGATGCCACAAATCTTTACTGCTTGGTTGCTATAAGGGAATACATTCAGGTTTGCTTACTTAATGCCTGGTATCGTATATTCAGGATAGATCTCATTCAAACAGAACTGTAAAAGAAAACAAGACATTGACACTTGCCAGGATGTCTTAATAGTGCTTCTTAACAAAAACAAACAAAAAAGCAAAGCTAACATCCTCCAATTTGTCATAATTTAGAAAAAAAAAATCATATTAGAAACTCCTCTTACCAGAAAAATCCTGAAAATTCCAAATATACAATTCATTCTACATAGCACCATTGAAACCCCTCTACTTGTGGGTTTAGGGAATTAAAATCTGAGATTTTTTCAAGATGTCTAGGTAACTTTAATGAGATTATGACTTTTGGGTTTTGGGTTTTTTTAATCCCTATTTCAGGTGTTCAAGGAGGGATTTACTATCTCACCTTAAAGCCTCCTGTTCATCTCAGTAACAACTGAGATTTGTAGTGTACTCCAGTATTAAAAATTGTGGAAAAAAATCATGAAGTTGTAGTGTTTCCCTCTAACCAGAATCATCCCCATGTTCATTTTTCCAGCATTTTTCCTTCTCTCCCTACAGAATTTTACATTAAATTCTAGCTATTGCTTAACCAATCCTTCTAAAGGTATAGCTAAGCATGTTGCTTTCCTGCATTCCCTCTAGACTAGTAGTTGTATCACCAAACATACTGTTGTTCTTCTTAAGATCATTACTGAGGGTCAAAACTTGAAAACGCATTTGCAGTATGTCACCTTTTCATGTTTGGGTGGAAGGACAGCAGAAGTACTCTACATAATTAATAGTCTTGTTATGTGGAAGATAATGCTGTTAGCTGAAAACCCATCTTACATTTACTATAAAAAAATTCAAATTCATCCAAATCCAAAAATCAACTTTTTTTTTTTTTTTTAAAGTGTCTTATAGGCCAGAAGTTGAAAAATGGCACTGACTAACAACAAATATTCTTGAATTTAATTATTCATAGCTTTTCAGACTCAAATAGGACAGAAGTACTGCAGTGGAAGAAAGATAAGTTTTATAAAGACATGAATAAGTTTTAGAATAAATTTATTAATGCAATTGGAAAAAAAATCAATGCAAACATCTTTACCTTTCATATTGTTTAGCAGATTACACTGTGGGGCAACCTACTAACTGAAAACTTTAGCAATTAATTTATTCTCTCTCTTAAGTAGACAAATATGTCCATGAAAGCTTTCATTTTTTAATCTAGTTTTCCATATTAGATAATTTGGATGAATGATGAGTCACATAATGAGTCTGTTTAAAGTAAGCGTTGATTTGAAGAATCTACACCAGATGTACTGTAATTAGAAACATTTTACTAGTCACTAAAATTTTAAACATTCCAGATTGTTAGGTAACAAAAGATTTTTAAACATGGGCACCCACTGTAATTACAAGTCTTCTCAAAATGGAGTAAGACAGTGTATATATGTAGTGTTCCAGAAATGAACAAAGATCCTGCCTCAATAATTACAAGAATGTACTTAATAAATTATTTTTCTATTTTCTTCTATTAATATGCAAATAGAGTTTATACAACATAAAAAAGTTAATTTGTACCTACTACAGGTAACATATCTATTTCGCTTTTCATCTGAAAGCCTGTAAGAAATGATGACCTGCAAACTTATTTACATAACCCATTTGAAAGTATTTTTAAAAATAATATTGTCCAGCATTTAACAAAATTGTGAGTTAAAAAAAGAAATCACCTAACAGCATTCATTTTTTGATTTTGTCAAGTAACTTCACCAGCTCAGTGTTATAAGGCAGGTTGGTTGCTCAGATGGACTAAGATTCCCTATGGCAATATGCATGTAGTAGAGTTGTTCATTTATAAAACCAGATGAAAAGAGAAAAAGTGTAGAGTTTCAAAAGAACTGAAACTTCTCATTTTTACTACAAATTCAAAATAGGCACTCAAACATGATTCCTTAGGGACTTTCCAGGAGATTGTCTCTTCGCTGGGCATCATTCCATTTTTAAACTAAGAGGGAAAAAAAAGGAGGGAGAGAAAAAAGAATTACTGGTGCTAAAAAACTAAAGACTATAGAAACAGTTTTACTATTTGTTACCATCTTATTAATAAATGTAAAGGAAATTGCTTACATGCCAAAGTTTAAAAATATACCATAATTACTATTTGGTTAGGATATTTTAAATTTCCTTATTAGATTTAGGCAGCATTGGAACATAAACACCCACTTCTGATTAGGTAATTCTTAAAAATTTTGCATACATTACTTGACAACTAAAGTCCCCATAAAGCACAGGGCTGAGGGGGACCGAAACTAAGTCCATCTCCATGCTTCAAGATAGCATCAACAAACTATGTGTAATGTTCCTATTAGAAGTTTGGGTAACCTCCTCTTAGGAAAGGAGATGCTGCAAACTCCCCAGGTATTCTACTCTAGTTTCCTTGTCCTTATCATGGGAAATACTTTCCCTAATGTCTAATAGAATTTAAACACCTTAATTATTGGTCTGTCAACCACAAACACGAGGACACCTTCTTGATAAATCATGTTTTTGAGATCTATAATGATGGAGTCTATTGATCTCCTCTAAACTTTATTATGTGGCCCACATTTTCTATGAACTGCAGTACCTTGAACTGAAACCTCAATAGCGTTGAACAGAGTGAACTTCACAAGTCTTGCAGACTTGGGAAGACAAGGGAAGAACTATATCAAGGTAAGAATAATGCTTTCTATGTGGTGTTAATTTAAATAATTTTGAAAATACTCTTCAAAATTATATCCATCCATGCAGAACAAGATGAACTGCAGGCTCTGTTAAAATGTACTTAAATATCATCATGAAAACTACCGCTGACCTTTCATCATATTGTTTCAAGTTTGTTTGTTAAACATACCTTTTGCCTATGAGCAACTTTCTCCATCTTGAGAAACATTATGCATAGGAATGAGACTTTCACACTGCTCGCTTTCTTCTGGCATTCTTAAAAGAAACAGATTTTTTTTTTTAAAACTACACAGTAATAGTAAATTGGTTGTTATGAAGTACATAAGTATTAAGGATGCTAATTCTGTTTTTTAAATTGCTACAGTTCAAACAAAAACAACTTAACTTCATAAGGGATACTCAAGTTTGCAGAGCTTCCAGTGCATGGTCCGAGTATAGTAACTACCATATAAGTACTGAGGAAAAAAATGACAGCCACTAGGGAATTGCTTCCAAGAGATGAACAAACTTCAAATCTTTGCATTTTTTGAGCATTCTATAGGTTCAAGAATGGACTGACAACTATTATTATTAAGAAGTTAGCCAGAGGTCATCTTTATTCAAATTAGATGTTTAGGCAAAAGAAGGCAAAAGGAGAGATGGAATTATACTTTGTGACTGCCCTACCTCTGAATGCGATGTTTTCTACAGATAAAGGCAAAAATTCTTCTGATTCCCACCATTACTGGATCCCAGTTGTTATAATGACACAAGAGAGTTGCAATGAAAAAAGAAAAAAATACAGGGATTGCCCCTGCAAAAAATAACCAGGAAAACTGCACCTGGAATTAAAACACAATTATCATTCATTCACTAGCAAAAAAAAAAAAAATGATACACTGTATACTCGAAATAATTATTATAAAAATAATCTGTAAGTTTGAGATGCAGTTCTTTTGAATTGAGTGAAATATTAGCACAATTATTTTTTGCAAAGTATCTGGCACAACTTCTATAGCCACTGCTGCTGCTAAAACAAACAACCTGTTCTTTACTAATATTTCCTTCACAACATACTGTTTCTGCTGTAGTATAGATAAAGACAGCTCTTTTCAAATTCTAAATTTCATTTTTAGGGTTTTGCCCTGTGACTGATACAAATAAGAAACACTCCAAAGAGTTAAGTACAGATAAAAGTCCAACCTGAAATATTTGTGCACCTGTTTATATGTACTATGAACATTGTGTCACTGAATGGTAACTGCAGAAATTAATGCACATAGGAAAAAAAAATGCTACTCAAAACATACAGTAATTTTCTTTTCTGCATTAAAAAATGTTATTTGCCCAATTTAAATGAATGAAATTCTTCCTGTATCTACACTAACAGTATTCAGAACTGATCATCCAAGCTAGTTTAAAACAAAACTATAAAAGGTCAGAGAAATCAAGGTTGCAAAACCTACTCTCCCTTTGCAACTTCTCTAAGGCTAACAGATCAATTAACCACAAGCAAGGTTCCCCCCTTGTGGAAGAAAAACACCCAAGGTTGAAGAATGGTAGGTGAAAAGGAAAAGGCATGAAGAAGATTATGAAAGATGTTGCCAGCACATAAGCTGAGACAGCAAAGAAGGTGAAGATTTAAGATCAGGAATAGGAAAAGAGCAAATGTAATACAAAGCATACAAGAAGTCAGATTAATAGTTACATTCATTTGTACTTTTGTAAATATCAAATACAAATCAAAGTGAATAACTGAATCACAGCAATAAACTGTAAACGCGCGTTAAAAACCTAAGCTGCACTGGTGTTTTCAACATGGACTGACAGTCATCCAACAAAGCTCTGCTACTTCAAATGCCTCACTATTGCACGATTACATGAAGAATAAATTCCGTTAAAAGATAGGGGCTCTCTGTCGACTCAGACTAAACAGTTTAGAGAAGGAATTGCTTTCAGAGAATAAGAAAAGCATATTCAATTTTTCAGCATTGTCCAGTAGAAAGTTTAGATGAATCACTTCAGAAGAGAATATACACATGCATATATATACACTTATATCTATGTAAATAAAACATTACACAAACGTTTATCACTGAAGTGAACTTTTTGGGAGAAGACTAGTGATCTTTTCCTTATTTTCTTAAAAGCTCTCAGTAGGTGTTTACACTCTTGCTATAATTTGTCCCATGTATACACTGCATTTACTTTAAGAGCAACATAAATAGTTACCTAACCAATGCTTTATTATAGGTGGAATCACTCCAAAGTCTTGCTGTATTTCAGTGCTGGAATATCAATTAATACTAAGTATGAAACGTATGTTATTTGTTACACGAGTATTTATTCAGTGTTTGAATCTCCTTGTATTTTCCAATTTAACTTTCCTTTTATTGTAAGTATTTTCCCCCCTAATTTTGTCTTCCAAAATTCACACTGACATGAAGTCCAAATTGGAGGGGGGAAGGGAAGTTATGCACTTCTGTTCTCTTTTTTCATTACATGTCTGTGGGAAAATTTCAGAATTCAGAGGCTTTCATTAGAATTTACGTTTTGCTGTGAAAACCTTTCTCCATGTAAAGCTCCTTTTTGGCAGAAAATATTCTCAACGTAAGACTTACGTACAAGAAATTAGTCAAGTTCTGTATAACAAGCACAAACCTCAAGAGAAACAAAAGGAAACTCAGATATAATGATTGAAAAGGAGTCATAAATTGAACAGAGATCAACTGTTCGCTTTGGTGAAGAAATTACTCAGAGAATGCTCAGTTTAAGCTATTTTCCAGCTATAGTAAGATTTCTCCCCCTCATATGTTTTTGCATTTCTCTTTGCACAGAGCTTACAAATTAAGCAAAACTGTATTTGCTAAACGACCCCAAAAAGCATCAATGCAGCCTAAGCAAGCACTAATAGGCAGAGCAAGGCCATCATTCTGTTCAAAATATCAGAAGCTATTTTGTATAGTAAATAGACTTTGAAGGTGTAGTTGGTTCTCAGCTCAGACAGTTTTGCCCATTTTTATTTCTACCATCTTCACATAAACTATTAAATGACTGCACTGCTTCCTAAGTCACATAAAGACTGACATCTCAGTAGAGAACCTTCAGTATTTCAGTAACAAACTGTACTCAGGTCAAGGTGCTCAAATACTGACTAATGCACCATTTTCAGCCCAGAAAATACTAACTGGCTCATAATTTTACTCCCTGCTTTCTAACACTTCTGCAGCCTCTCCATATCATGTGACTATATTTACATCTGCAAAATACAGGTGTCACCAATGCTGGAAACGCAAACAGCCATGTGACAGGAACTCCTTATACTTTAGCCGCATGACAGATATACTTCTGTCTCCACCGAGACACATCAAGGTTTTTAGATACTTTCAGAAGAAGGTTTATCCATAATGGGTTATGTGGGAATGCCCTGCTAAACCGGGGGGAGGGAAAAAAAGAGCAGAGGGAAGAGGGGCACTGTAGGAAAGAATAAACTTGCCTTAATAGATGCATTTAAAAAAAAAAAACAAAAAACAAAAAAACCACACACACACACAGGCGAAAGCAGAAACAAGAAAGTAGTCCTGATTTCAGAAAACAGAAATTGAAAGTTGTGTGACCTCTATTTAAAGAAAAAACAGAGAAAAAAACCTCTAATTGAATATATGTATTACATTATAAATTAACATCATCCATATGAAATTAAAGATTTGATGTTCCTTGCCACTGCTTAAGTATGAAACTCAAATACTCAGAGCCAGAGCTGCAGTTCACATATCATTAAATACCCAAAACTGAAATCACCAGCATAAAAAGAAAACTATCTATTTAGCTTGAAGAGTAATATAAACTAACAACATACAGTTTCTGTTCTAAACTCACGTTGTCTGATTCTTGGCCTTCTCCACACACAGGGTTTTTCCACAGCTATTAACTCAATAACAATGAAATTAGAATAACTTAAAGGAGAACAGTTCTAAGTGGAAGCCTAGCGTCCACACTAACCTAATAACGTGCAACTAAGCCTTGCAGTTTCTACTTTCCTTTGTCATAAGCCTACAGATTTTTAGGTTTTTCCTTATCACTGACTACGTTCAAGAAATGCAGTAAGCAGCAATTCTATCATTCTAAGAGTCTTAAATTAAGATGTGCTGTAGTTAGAACTGTTCTGTAATTCTGAAGAGTGCATGGTCAAGATAAAGCATATGACCAGGAATTTTTGATGACTTAAGTACTTGTCATCCAAGCTGCATCTCAATCAAATATAGTTAAGTGTGCACTTAAAAACCATCATACCTGCAAATATTAAGAGAGGATGAATTACAATGTTCAATAATTATTAACAAGTAACAGTGGTGGCAAAGTACAGTTCATTGTATACACTGTTAAAATTAACATTGTCATTGAACTAAAAGAAACGCCAGCTCTAGCCTGTTATTAATGCTCAAATTTAGTACGTTACCTTCTGCATGCACATGTCAGCTATTATGGACAGAGGTATTGTAAGGCTTAGCGCAAGTGTGCCTATCAACGATGAGGTAAGAAAGCAGCCCCTGGGAGGAGAAAAAGAAATAGCAGTAGTCTTATTTAAAGGTTAAAAGACAGCTGAAATAATACATCAAACTGCAGAATACATTTCATGAATCAAAAATTGTGATATCCACATTTGGACAAAAAATTTTAAAACTGCCTATAGTTCTCAGACTGCTGAAGTCTCCCGAAGTGAGCTTTAATTCCTATGCAAACCTTTCAAGATGACTGAGAATTTACTACTGCGTAGTGACCTCACTTAGGAAAAACTAGCATTTGTTTATAGTTTAAAGTAGTTTAATGATAGCTTTCAGCAATTAAGTCTGGCTTGCCATAGTCTGGTTAATTAAAAATAAAAGGTTACTTATGTCTAGAATTCCCTACTTCAAGAAAAGAAATATTTTTGATAAAAAGAGGAAGTTTTAATTTAAACAGACTGTGCTTCTTAGGTCTCACTCTAAAATACATCTGTGAAATCATTCTTCAGAGTCTCAGTAAGACGCCCCTGCATTCTGGAAGTGTTTTAGTCATCCTACTAAATGGATATCTAAGCAGGAATAAAGTTACAAGACCTTTCTAAACCACTGAAACATGAATACATTCAAATTTATTTCTGTGGCATCTAAAAAATAAAAAAAAAAAAAGCACATATCTTTCGAAGTAGAACTTATTAATGGCAAATGAGAACTGAACTTTTCCAAATTGCTTTGCAAGTCACACTTAATTTGCAAGTGGCCAAGAGAGAACCTAGAAGTATATGCAGTATACATCTAAGTGAATATCTGAGCACCGGAGACCTTTTGCACTTCAAAAAAAAATGAACCAAGGATCTACAAGTAAAACTTGACTAGCCTAAGCCATTTCATTGTGAGGTGAATAGCATAAAATCCAAACCAAAAAGCTGCAACTCCCACATTACGATCAACCAAGTCAAAAGCTCCTCAGCATCAAGTAAAGTCTGTTAGCAAGTTTGTCTCTACGAAATAGTCTATTCTACCATATGAAGAAAATACCTACTTGATAATTTTGTAGTGTTTATCGACCCAACTCAAATTAATAACGGTCACTATTGAGTCAACCTCTTATTTTCAAAAGTATTCAGCTGGTTTTTTTTTTTTTAAAGGCAATTATTTTCATTCTTAGCAAGGACTGAAACCAATGTTAGCTGCATTTTTTTTGCAGGATAGCCATTATTTCTACCAACAATTAATTTTGAAGGAGGAAAATCTTAAGTTGCAATTTTTTTTGGAATTCAAAAATTTGTTAAAATTCTAAAACTTGTTTTTTCCCATACCAGATCTTTATTCTGGAGATGGTAAAATTAGCAGGTAAACCACCACAGAAACTATGCTCATGAAACATGATTTACTGAAGAAGCTATTTCCATTCATTTTATAAAATTGTTTGAGTTTGTTTAACATCTTTTAAACACAAATATTTGAGGAAACATTCGGAAAACATTTTCTAAACCATGATTTCAGGCACTTATTTCTCCAATTAAACTAGAAGAGTATTCCCAAACCAAGCCATTAGGTCCTCCTGTAAGACTTAACTTTCAGCCAGACAATAATGACCAGTTTAGATATTCATAATCGCCTGAGGTTTGTTTGCGCCTTTAAAATAAAGGCAATTGTATGCAGATGAGAAAGGAACAGAAAGGAAACAACACATTTTAGATTTAGAAACTCTTAATTTTTGTAAACCTTTCCTCCATTCTAAATCCCCTTTTATATCACTAGGAACTTCTTTGAACCTCAGCATTAAACGATTTCTGAATCAGAATCAATCTGACTATCAGAACATTGCCAATGATTAAACAGTACAGAATTTAACGCAAACTTATGAGGAAGGAAAAATGATGAATTAGGAGTTTAGTCTGCCACTACATTATTGAGTTGGTAGCCTTCGGGTGGGTAAGGTAAACAAATGGGTTAAATGATAATATTAGCATTCCAACAAAGAATAGAGAACCATACTAGGCACAAACTGGAGAGGGAGAAAGATGAACTCCACATGAGCCCTGAAATTAGTCTAAGCCAAAAATTCTAGGGAAAAAGAAACTGGAAATAAAAATAACTCTTTAATTGACTAGATTATCATTTTTGAATAGTTACTTAAGCAGTATGTGTATAAAAGAAGTGTGTGTGCACGCTACTTAACCCTATCCGGGTAAGAAACGTACGATTTCCGGGAACAGTGCAAACATTTTCCACCAACAAATTATTAAACTAAACTAATTACAAAGAAACATATTCTGTAATGCATTTATAACTAAGACTGGTTAAAAATTTGTCAATAAACACAAAATGTCCTGATAAAGTTTCCTCTATAGTTTTAAACTTCTGCTGAACACACAGAAGAAATGTTTTCATGGAACTCCACCTGGATTTTTTGTTGTAGCATTGTGCCAGAACTTAGGATCACGGATGTCTCAGTTTCAGACTAGCTATTCCATTAGGTTTTCCAGACTCTCTACCATGAAATTCGGAGGCTGAAAGCCAAGGGTTCCCACACAAAAGCTCATGAACTGCCACACTTATTCAGAATGTAGCGTTCAAATTGGGATCTAGTTCACTGAGAGCTGTACAGCATAGTAAGCACATTTCTCTTTGGAAACTCTTCCTTAGGGTTTCTGGAATAAAACAGACTTTCCAACTTGTACAATTTTCTGTTCTACCCTTATTTTAATGTAATTCTTGTCCCAAACAAATTTAGACTCTCAAAATTCTCTCAAGCTGGGAACCCTGCCTTATTGACAAGTTCTCTAATAATGCTCAGTCCTTCTAAGACCTACACACAAATGCTGAAGTCTGCTATTTTTAAACTGTTCATCTAGGATTCGCATATTCAGTCCTCTCTGCTGCTGACCTATCCAGAGTATTATTAAATTAATAAACAAAAGCTAGGATAATGTTTGAATTCCCCTATCTTAGTGATGCAGTGACAATCTCCAATGAAATTTACTGCAAGTCTATGAAGTCTTAGAAGTCTTAAAGTCTTTTAAAATTTGAAGATATCAACTACAGAACACTTTATTTGCTGGATTCTGACTCAAGTATATCCAGTATACAGAAAACCTTAGAAACTAGAGAACTGTTACAACATAAGCTTATGCTCTCCTGTTACCACTACAACTCCACACCACAAAGTCTTTTCATCTCAAATGTTAATTCTGTAATAAGCTAAGTGCATAGTATCTTAATAAATATATAACCTAATCCTGTAAGACCGCATCACCCGTTCTTTAAAATTATCTGTTACTCTTAAACAGTACTATTGGGACGTGATGGATAACATCCTCCGACTTAAACTGCACTTACAGAGAGCTAGGCTGCAAAAAGACTACCTAGATATTCTGTCATCTCAACATCTGAAAATATAGGTAAGACAATTGATGGGACATATATGCAAAGCAAATGGCACGTACCACAACCAGAGGAACTCTGATAGAACTGTTCCGATAAGGCCATTAATGACAATGCACATCCATATGAGTTTGTTGGGAAACTCAAACGCTTCAAATCCAGTATAGTGAAGCAGGAAAAATCCTGGCCATAGCAGCAACAGATTAAACAGCCCTACAAAACCTGAACGTGAAAACAATATTAACAGAAGTAAATCTCAACAAAGACCTTTCAGCTTCTTCAAAACTAAAACCTTTGCTAAACTCTGCTATTCTGACAACATATATACATAAAATGTTGTTCTGTTGCTGCTTTTAAGTCTTTTAGAGGAAAGAAATATAAGAAACTGTACCTGAAACTGATAAGCAACACTTAGGTCAGATATTTACAGTTTTGAGATTTAAAAGGTCCTTTGAGTCTAGAAGGACTGTCTAAATTCCAACAGATAATGTTATTTTTCATTTTCAAAACTATAAATGAGAAACAATTCATACAGCCAGTCTCCAAAACAGTGACAATCATGGGAACAAATACTTTTTCTCTACTTCCATGCCTTTTCCGGGCCCCTTAAACCCTTGCATACAGCTAACCACCTGCAAGCAAGCACTTTAATCACGCACTGAACTAAAACTTTCTTCATTAGCCTTATTTTTAGTCTTACCAAAGAACATTGGTATATCAAGCTTATCTTCTCTGTCCACTTTCCTTTTTATCATTACTATGTACACAGCATACAGCATTGCTCCTATAAGAGACCAAAGGGAACCTGTAAAGACGAGAAATACTGACTTAAGACATGCCAAATACATCATACATATTAAGATCACATTCTTTTAAACATAACTCTTTAAATCTCCACTTGACAAGTTCATAATTGCTTATTACAGAATCCTTTACTATATGAAAAGTGTTAAAAAAAGGCACAAAGCTTGACTACGTAAATAGTCTTAAGTAAGCTGTATGCATAAAAATCCATCATCATAAGTGTCCGGTTTCAGGAGCTGAAACTATGAGGCCAGTGGGTAAGAAATATATATCTTGCTATATGACCTTCTGATTATTGTCAAGAGTTTATAGTGGTACTCATCACAGCATATTCCAGGGTAAAAAATAAACAAACAAAATACCTATTGTGTCTCTTCCAGAAGACCTCTCAGATCCAGAAAGGTTAACAAGTACTACACCACCAATGCTAGCAAAAAAGAAACACAAAACACTACTTAAATATAAAATTTTACGAAGATGAAATAAAAGGGGGGGGAGGGAGAAAACCTCACAAAAAGAGTTAAATCTTCTGATATTTTTAATTACCCTAAACTCACTTTTGGCAATGCCAAAGGGAGTTCTCTATTTTTAAGGCCTGATCCAAAGCTTACAAAAGAGGGGGAGAAAAAAGAAAAGAAAAGTCTTTATTGACTTCTCTGAACAATGAATACATCAGGCTTTTAATGAAACAGGCCGACAAGTCACTAAACGTCAACCCTCTTTCTTTCCATTTGTATAGAAAAAAGAAACCATAATTAAACAACAAGAAAATAAGTCCAAGTACTTCCTACAGAAACTTTATTACTCTTATTTACTACAGCAGTGTGAGATTTGGCAATTGTTCACTACACGAAGCGTTTAAAAAGACTTAATGCGCTTGCTCAACTTATTTATGGAGAAAAGATTAAAAAAATAAAAATAAAAATAAAAAATCACTGAAGCATACCGCATATTGCCACGTAGGTAAATTTGTAGGTAAATTTGTAGGCAAATTTGTCCCCTCACTACATCAGCAAGATTTTAATCAAATGTTCCATTCCATATTCTTACCTTAAAATAACAGCTAACAATTTGGAAAGGGTAAACCTATCTCCACTGTTACTGGGAAAGACTGCAGCTAGGATTAAAGTAAAAAGTCCTGCGAGAGAAAATAAGAAGAGTTTATACAATCAAACTTGGCTACTATTTTGTTTAGTAAACTGCACTGACATTTTGTTATTCATGTTTTACATATTTAACTATTTCATCTCAGCATTCATAATTTTAATCTGAACTATCATGAAACTAACACCTTAGGATTTGAAGGTTTAAATGAGCAAATACAAACTCAACTCCAAGAAAGGCCATCATTTACTTACTAACCAAATAAACTGCAAGAAGCCTGAAAAGTCAGTCCAAATCACATAAGTGTACTTTTAAAACTGTTTTTTTTTTTTTAAACAACAGAAATTTCTCCTCCAAACATGGACTGCTTCATAATTACAGACTTTAAAGCCAGTATTTGGGACTTTAACGAAACCTGCAAAGCAAGGGCTGTAACGCATAATATTTAGGTGGTCTAAGTTCTTTACCTCTAAACATAAACTTATTTTTACGAATAGCTAGCAAGAAGACTTTTACTCTAAATTATATCCATAATACCACGTTTATTTCAATCCTATTACGCTCCTGGTACAGCTCTTTAATATTCAGACATAATCACAGAAGTATACCAAAAGAATCTGAGCAGCAAAAAGGATGGCACAGATTCCAACAATATAGTGAAATTTTAAAACACACATATTCAATAGTTCTAAGCCTTGCCATCCCTTCAAAACTCAGGTAAGACATTATATAAGTCCATCATAAGCTAGAAGCTAACATAAACAGCCTTATAACGCACATCTGATGGAGTAAATAAGACTCACCAGAGGTCGAAGACAAGATATTAACTATGGCAACCTGGGTATCTGATAGAGCTTCTTGGTAAGAGAAATTTGCCAAGAACCACTGGAGGATAAGAAAAATAATTTAATGACTATATGGACAGCAATATAATTCACGTTTGTCAGCGCTTTAAAATCTTATTTAAAGGAGAAACTGTCTCTCCAAAACCAAAACACAGCAATGAAATAACACATTTCAGAACTGAAACATAATTAAATAATTCAAATGAAATGATAATAGCTATTCAGTAGTAACTAAAGGTACAACTTGTTTTGGAAGTGCTTTGAGATGATTACTACACTGGGGTTATAAAGAAATTTCTAGAGAAACATGGGATATTAAATCAATCTAATGAGTTTGTACTTAAAACAGGCTCTGTTCTCCACTCTAAAAAAAAAAACTTCCATTATATATTTCCCAAGACGTTTTGGAAAGATTCATGCCTGTGAATTCCTTTAAAAATATAAAAAGCAGCAACTGTTTTTTTTTTAATCATGTCTTGGTAAAGATCTCATTATGAAGATCTCAGGTATATTCTAAGGGAAGCTACCACTCTCTGTAGTCTTAAAACAGGATTATGATGCCCAAAAAACACACATACACGCTAGTAACAGGAGCATCCATGAAAAGCATGAAGAGGATCTGTTTTGAACACAAAATAATGATTCTACCCTAGAAATTGAGTGTGCACTTGGGGGGGGGGGGGGGGGGAATATATTCAGACACACAGAATTTTAGGTTATTTTTAAAATGCCATTTGATCCATCCCAAATCGCTAATAAGCGACTATTTTTCTCTTGATGCTGTGAATACATTTTTTTCTGTGTGTATACATAACAAATCAGATCATCTTTTTCTGGTCAACCCATCAAGAGCACTAATTATTTTATTTTTATGGAGCACCTCTTGCTGGTGAAAAGCTGCAGTACATCCACATAGCACGTAGCCTGTTCAGCAATATCAGTGACACTACCATTAGAAAGGTTATCACTGTTCTGCTTCCTACATTTTTACTGTCTCTTAAAAATCCTGCCATCATTGTCTTTCTCCCCTTAGAATTAAGCCATAATGTAGAAACACAAACCACCAACAGATTCCTAAATTGTGCAGCCCTCAGTGGACTGGTAAGGACAGGTAAGTATTTTCCCTTCATAGCATTTGAGGGCACAACGCCATAGAGCGAGGCATAAGATGTCACTCTATGATAGCCCACAGTGACATTCAAGCATAGTGATGTAAGAGCTCTCATTCATGTAACCCTAAATTTTGCTGCACCAAACATACCTATATTGGACAGCATGGCACGAAAGCATGGCATAACTTAAAACTGAACTTACAGTTAACTTACACATCCAAGATCTTTTTATTTTACTTCTTATTCTTGAGTTTACGTCTTATACTACGTTTACAAAATGAGGCATAAAGAATACAAGACATCTCAATATTGTACAAACAAGATAGTTTTCACTATTATTATACAAGCTTCAACTAAATTACTTAGTTTTCTGAGACAACAGAGCACATACCACAAAGCAAAAGA